TGTTGATTCATGTGTCATAGGGGTTTGCATCTTTGTCTTCTGTCTACTCTCAAATCGGGCCCGTTTTTCGTAGCTCCCTAAAAGTTTTCGCACCCGGAAAGCTGTAGCAAAATCTCAAACTGAACCCTATGATTAGACAGCTGTTTTATTCACATATTCTTAATATGGATAGAGCTTTTCTTTATGCAAGAAGTTCTTGGCGTACACGGCTCTCTGTTTTTAGATACAGATTAACTAAAAACAGCTTTACTAGCCCGAAAAAGATTTCTGGCCTTTCGAGAAAGGGCGATGTTGCTGCAACTGCTCTTAGGGCCTGTATTATACTAATTCTTCAGTAGTTTTAGGTGCTTCCTGGAGAACGTAATGCTCGCGGTGATTAAAATGGGAAATTACAAATTGTGAACTAGTGGTTGCGTACAAAGCAGCAACTCGTTGGGTTGAACAGAACAACGGGAGTTTTTGTATTGTTCACGCACAGATCGTTTGCAACTGAGAACATCTCCGCCATGTTGAATGATCATTAAAAGAAGAATCCAAATTGCTTTATTGTTTCTGTCATCCATCATGGCCGTCTTGTCATTTGAATCTCGTGGGAATGGTTGCAAACCACCTATTGGACATGTTATACTTGCTGTCCCTGACGCATGCTCAGTCATTGCCGGGGACGACGTCACCAATCTCGTCTCCAGGGCCCGCGCGTATTTGATGATCGGTGACCGAACGTGAGACGCTCTGGACAAAATCAAACACCGGAACCATGAAATGCTGGTTCCGATTTCATTGTCCAAGTTCAATAACGGTTTCTAAACATACTTAGAAAGAGTAACCGCTGTAACTAATGCTTAGTCGGGCGTGTTTAAAATACGAACTGACGATATGGCACTACTGGTAAGAGTCAATGTGGGATACGAGTGTCTTTAGGGTAACCCTTACAGTTATTGAGAGCTAACTACTGTCGAGTCAGTGACATTTAGGCCAACCTCTTGAGTGCTATTAAGGCTAACGGCAAGGCCATTTCTCTATTTCGTCATTTCGTGTTTTAAACACGTCCTACTGAGTCATCTTCCGATTTCTCCCAGAGGTCTCGATTTCTTGGCGATAGCCAAAGGCTAAGGATCTTGGCCTCTGGGAACGAGATTGGCTTGTCACACGCTGCCACACTTGCGCGCGCGAACCGAACCGACACACGCGCTACTCCTAAGGGAGTCGATAGACTGGAAGAGTCAGGTTTTCTTCCGTGCTTGTTGAACCGACGTTTTTGATCTTTCATTTAAATGAAACGGATGCCGTTTGTTGC